GCAGAGGCGGCAGGCAGGCAGGGAAGGGAGCCAGGCTGGCAGAGGGCAGGGTGCAAAGCAGGCTCCCGGAGCTGGAAGACAGCCTTTCCTGGGAGAGAGCAGAGCACAGCGAGAGCAGCAGACACTGCTCTCACGTTCCTTTTTTCTGCTCTCAGCCCTGTGCCTGCCGACACCAGTGCCAACAGGGTCACCATCACCCGCTTGGCTCACGCCTGATTGCGCAGATAACTTCGGGTGGTGCACCTGGCACAAAACAATTTTGCCGAATACAGCCTGACAGATACCGCCCGGTCTCTTTGTCGTCGTCAGATGGACCTTCGGGTGTATGAGGCTCCTCATGTTTCAGAGAGAAACATCTTCCCTAATTCTCTCTGGAAAAGGTGCATGCTAATGCCTCAGTCTTTACTCTTCCAGTTCAAAAGTTAAGTGACTGTTTCTACCAGTTTGTTTCTCCCTCTCCACAGCCTTAACTCTGAAAACCACGCTGAGGAGAACAGCAAGAAAGGCCTGATGATGCACTGCTCCTAAGTGCCCCGAAGTTTTCACCCAGCGCCAAGGGCAGTAGGATGGAAGATGGACATGTTCAGTGCCTCCAGTCTCACAGACCTGAAGCTAAGCTTCCACTCCGTCTGAACGTAGTTTTAGGTGTAGGGGCAAGATTTACAGGATCCCACAGAAGTTATACAAGAAGTGTAACTAATGAGGAGCATTAAAAAAAGGTGAAGGAAGTCCTGTTTTCCTGTTTCAAAAGAAAAACAGAACTGGGTAGTGTGAACCTCCGCTGTTTGATCACGTAGCCAAGTGATGAGATCAACCTTGACGCATTTTCAGTTTTTAGCTTTGAAAGCATACATGAAGCCACTTACCTGTAAGTTCAGCTAACGGTACTGTGTCATTATTTATATCAACAACTCCTCCAGCAGACAGGATCTAGAAAAACTGCTGCCTTCTCACCTACCCCTTTACAAGGTGAAACAGTTTAGAGTCAATACCATAAAAGCTGGCAAGGTGCTTTTAACACGTGTAGCCTTTCCACTGGTTTCCAAACCTTGCTTTAAGGGCCTAGATTTAAATACACACAAAAACTTAAACAAGTTTTTAGTAAATTATAGACGTATAGTAGAGGTCTGAATTAATTAGAGGTTAATTTTCAAATAAAAATTCTCAGTCACCCAGCTATATTGGGAAACACTAAAATGGATACGGTTAGAAAGTTCTTCAGTAATTCCAAGTATCATTTAATATGAGAAAACAACCTGTCATTTCTCATTATACTCTTAAGGTTACCCATCTAATTTACTGTTGAATGTATATTAGTGAAGTTAAGGCCAAATGCATCTTGCTTACAAGCAGCTTTGCAACCGAGCCTTAACAAAAGTTATTTTCCCAGCATATTTTCTCCTATCCCAGTGTGCTATCTGAGGGGAGAAAGAGGAGGTAAACAGTGCTTCACTGTATTCAGAGGCAAAACAAACTGCATATATATAGGAAAAAATTTTCAGATACTGATGTTGTCGCTTAAACATGGCACGTATTGTGGACTGGTCTGCAATGTCTGCTAAGTCATGACAAATTTTAGAGAGCAAACCAGTTTATTTTTCTCATGCAACTACTGCTGTTCATAGAATAGAATCACAGAATCATTCCGGTTGGAAAAAAAACCTGGGATCATCAAGCCCAAATTATAACCCTGCTCTACAAAGCTCATCCCAAACCATTACCCCAACAGCACATCTAAATGACTTTTAAACACCATCCAGGGATGGTGACTCACCCACCTCCCTGGGCAGCCTATGCCAATGTTTGACTACTCTGTGAAAAAAAATTTCCTCATGTCCAGTCTAAACCTACTCTGTTGCAGTTTGAAGTCATTCCCTCTAGTTCTGCTACCAATTACCTGTGAGAAGTGACCAGCACCAACCTCTCTACAATGCCCTTTCAGGTAGCTCTAGAGAGTGATCAGGTCTCCCCTCAGCCTCCTCTTCTTCAAACTAAACAGCTCCAGCTCCTTCAATTGCTCTTTGTTAAGATTTATTCTCCAGGCTCTTCACCAGCTTTGTTGCCCTCCTCTCTACTCGCTCCCAGCACCTCGATATCTCTCTTGTATTGAGGTGCCCAAAACTGGACACAGTACTCAATTAGAAATACTATTTCTAATACAGGCCAGGATGCCACTGGCCTTCTTGGCCCCTTGGGCACACTGCTGCCCATCAATTAAAACCCCCAGGTCCCTTTCTGCCACACTTCCCCAAGCCTGTAGCGTTGCATGGGGTTGCTGTGGCTCAAGTGCAGGACCTGGCACTCGGCCTTGTTGAAGCTCACACTGTTTGTAACGCAGTACCAGCAAATATTCACCCTGAGAACCAAACGCTAGTCTCCTTATGCCAAACACCTGAATGGCGTTGAGTTCTACTCAGATTAAACATATTACACAATAAAGTTAAGTAGCAGGTGTGTGCAACAAGCATACACATCAGGAACTATTTTCAGCATTACTCCACTAAACTATGAACACTACTTCCAATCCCCCACCAATAAAAATAAGCTTTGTTAGACAAGACATTTGTATTGAATTCACTTCCTTTTATTGCAGTGACATCCCCCTGGTACAAAGTATTACTGCAATAATTACGTTAAAACATTAGAAAAGCATTTGTGTGTGACAGTTACAGTACAGTATCAAATCTTACATTTTCAAACCAAGTGGGCCATAACCCACTAACGCTCAAATCTTTAAATTATGTTCAGTTATTTTTAAATATGTAATGTCAGAAAAAGCATATAAAAAGAATGTATGTAAAAGGAAACCTAAATACAAGTGAACAAATAAATAATTGATTTTCTCCAGCTATTACTGTCTTTCTAAACCCATACAAAGAACCCTAATCTATAAAAAGTACGAATTGCCATGTGTAAGTGATTTCATTTTTCAAGTAATTAATAATGATTGGATCATAATTAAATTTGGCGTCAAAATCAAAGCAGAAGTTGAAGTGACTGCCACTAACTGACATCTGTTGCAAACAATTACCATTAACTGTTGAAATTTTAGTGTAACAAATTATCTTGAAACTTGACCTCATGCCTAGCGTTAGTGGACTTCTGAGAGTGTATGTGAAAAGCATCCTACGTTATTTCACAGACTTTACCTTAACTATCCCCATATGCATATTTAGATATATTTTATATAATTTTATACACATATATGCATGTATACACACACTTCATTTGGTTTCTGTGTTACAGATCACAAGCAATGGTTTCCTGAATGGGCAAAAAATCCTTTTAAATAAGTGTACCTGTGCACATTTTTATTTTTCTTTTAAAGATAGCAGCACTAAGTCCATGCCTTACTGTCCATCTGTTCAAAAGAATGTAACCTATAAAACAAGAAGAAACATGGCAATGATTCCATATTCACAATGTGACATCATGTGACACCACTGTAAAACCTGTAATAGGAGTTGGTTAAGTTTGATTCCCATCCCCTCACCTGGAAGAAAACAGCACTTTTACTGCAAACTGTCTGGTCTTAAAATGTTTATCATGACAAGCTAGGTTCATGCTGGCATCAGTTATCTCACACTTAGCAGCAAAACATGCATGCTTGGTTTTCTTGCTATTTTTTTTTTAAATTAAATGATTCAATAGTCTCAAATCCAATTGACAGAAACATCAAGAAAGGCTTTTTTTCAGTTTACCGAGAACTTGGCAACAGTGTATTCAGCACTGCATAGAACATTTTTCTCTTTAATCACAATAACTTGAAGTTTTACATTGCCACACAACGATTATGCTTTGTCCTTCAAAAGAAGTTTAGATTTCATCTTGTATTTAGCATAAAAATACACATCTGTACATCCTTAAGCAAAAGTCATTCAATCACTGGTAAACTGATCCAGTAGCATGTCCAATACTAATATTAAAAGCTTGTGAAATGTTTTTAGGCAATCCTTTCTATCCAAAATATATTAGGAATTTAAAAAACAGTTCACATTACTAACCTTTATACAAAGGCTCAAGTGAAATCTCTTGTGTAGGTGTCATAGTAGACTAAATCATGGAAGTTTTCAAAATATATAACGAAAGGGCACAGAAGATTGGCAGTCTCTTTATTGAACATAGAAAATGTATAAAGTAGGATGTATGGAATAGATCTAAATCGCTAGACAATCAAACCTGAGTATTATATAATAAGACTAAATATATTTTCTGACAACTGAATGAATTGACCTAAAAACATCTCCCCTAGTTACTAGTGGTCCTTTTAACCATTTGTCGAAAAATGCGAGAACTGTAGCTTTTACATTTCATATTGGATAGCAAGATCCCACATAGTGTTTACTGTTTTCTGTTAGATAGCATCACATTGCTTTTATTATCCCCATTCAAGCCTTAAGTTGAGTTTTGTTTCAAAATAAGTTGAAAGTGACACCAAAACATAACAGGCCAAGAACTAGGACAGGTCTTTGTCTCTCCTTCTAATTTGTAGATAAAAAGCCTCGGCCAGTAAGGTGAATTTGGTTTCATCCTAGAGCCTCAGAGCAAAGACTGCCACAGTAGCTGATCTTAGCTGTGTATCTCAAGCTACTGCCAAAGTAGACACATTGTCAAATTTGAGTGAAGGATCCTCTCTGCTAGTAGATTAGTTTTAAATGTTAGAAAATTTAGTAGCACGTCTTGACAATAACATCAGGAATTTGTTTTAGTTCCACTGACCTGCCCCAATTCTCACCTTTAAATCTAACAGATATAGTAATAAAAAACCAAAAACTTTCTGAGAATAGAAAACATACAGTACTAAGAACTAATAGCTCAATGGAAGACTGAAAAGCAGCATTCATTTTTATTGTAATATGGAAGAGACTAGAAACTAAAGAAAGTCTGATCTAAACTCTTAGTTGAAGGCAGATTTTGACATTCTATATAAATTTACAAAATAGGATGTATAGATGAGATTTGGTTCATTTCAGAAGGCACCTCAAGGCTAAAAGGCTTTTATAAATCTATAATCCTTTCATTGATCAAAAATAAAACATTTTATTGCTGCTATTCAAATAGCAAACAAAAGGCTTGTCTTGTTCTTCAATCTAACGAGGAATCCTCTCCCATTAAGCAAGATTAAATTACAGAAAATATAGAATAAAACCGAAGATGTCACAACTTTAGAAATACAGTGACTTTCCTTGTGTGCTTTCAAGTCAGTGAAATAGTGAAAGAGTCACTTTTTGCCTTTGTGATGTTAATAAACTATAGACCATGTCAGTCACTCTCCCCTGGGCACTGAAGTACCATTTCACCACAGCTGTCCCACGTGCAGTACTCTTAGGAATAGAAGGTGAGAACACTCTGATGATTCCCACGAACGAGGAGAATCGGTGGCAGATCCTTAGAAAGAGCTTCTAACCAGGCCATGTATAGTGCACTAGAAACTGCACCTTTTCGTGCAACTGGCAAACTCCTAAAATTCACAAGGAAGGAAAAAAAACAAAAAACAAAAGGTTGAACAATTAGAAAAAAATGGTGGAGGACAAGTCGTATCATATAAATATGAAAGTATGACTCTACAAAGATGTAAATAATAAGTCAAATTTCCTAACTTTTTTAGTTTTGAGGTTTTGCCTCAGAGTTAATGAGTTGAGAGTTTATCATCTTCCCTTTACACCTATTTCCCCCTCACTTTCAGCCTTTTACTACCATTTTTTAGTCAAGTTTCTCCTCACTTGCAGCTTTTCCTGAAAGACTCTTTAAGATTTTGAAATACAGCTTTTTCTTAAGATGCCAGATCTAATATTCCTTCTCACAACCCTTCCAAAACATGACATACTCTTTTATTTTGAAGAAATGACTGTAGGTCTATTTGCCCTATTCAAACTTCATTTGTAGTATTACTTCATAGAGCTCTTTGAAGCGGGGTCCTAAACAAAAATGCAGTGAAGAAAGCTGTGATCTGCATTCTTCTCGTTTACACTAAAAGCAATTCAATGGAATTAGGTGATCTAACTTTATCTAGACAAATTTCCTAGAAAAAAATCTGAAAGGAAGGATCTGAATGAGAGAGGAACAGTTGACATGTGGTAGTGGAAGGACTGTGAGAATCCTGGGCTGCACTAAAAATGTGGAGGCTATCACCTAACGCAGCATAGTAGAAGCACAGAACTACACAGGCCGTATTTTGTTCAACATTACTCTAGCCCCATATTTCTAATAAATACTTTCAGCATTGAAACCACTTTGAGTATTTCTATACTTCAGTGCCACGGCACAGGCATTTTCCTAACCTGTATTTAGGTATATTTTATATTTCAAATTACAGTTCTACATCAGTTAGGATAACAGTACAAATCATTTACTTACATAACAATTATGTTAGCTGTACTTGAATGTTCTTTCAGCAACTCATTTAGCCTAATCTGGCGGTAAGTCTGTAATTAAAATGAACTGGTTAGGAAGACCTTTTACATAAAACTACAAAAAGTTCACTTATTCAAGGAAAATTAAAAACAGATACAATCCATTATTTATAGAAAGCGTGTACACTTCCACCTCAGTTCAGCAATGTGTTTGCTTTTCCAAAATACCAAAATACAAGGCTGGGAAAGAAGAGAGCAGTAAGCTCGAAATGTGCAAATAAGCCAAGTATTGTGGAAGCTAAATTTAAGATAGTTCCTCTAATAGTAACAGCATCCTCCATAGCTCCTGGAAGGAAGAGCACCTTATGCTTTATTCAGTGTTCTTTTAACTATATCCCACAAGTTCATAGTGAGCAGGTCTTACAGAAGTGAAGATCCATCTTCATTGGGTAAGCCTATCTCCATAATGGGCCTCCATTTTTTTAATACACTATCCTGATCTTAACATCTGAGGTAGCTTCCTCAGTGATTTTCAGTTCCCTTTTATGTCAACTAACTTTCTGGTAAGACTCTGAATTAGTCCCACCTTATAGTTTTGTTGTTCTCAGGTGAGCTTAAGTCTAGTTAGCCTCTGGGCTACTGTTTGCAGAAACAATTAACCTATCAGCAGACAGTAACCATAAATCACTTCAGTTATCTCCCTAAAATGAGGTTTGGCAGCGCTTATAAACATGAGGAACACCAAGGCATCAAGGACTTCACTAACTATAAAGTAACTATATAAATTCCCACCCAGCCCCTTCATAACATGCAATTAAAAGATCTCAGCAGTGTTGCCAGTCAATCTGTACCTACCTGTCAAACAGATACCTGCCTTTTTTTTCTTATATGCACTTAAAAGTGCAAAATGACCTACCATCTCTGTTTTTAATCAACTGCAAATTCTCACAAAAGTTGTAAAAAACCGGAATGGAAATACGAGATAAGGGCAGAATATGCTAAGGATCATCTCGAAGAACTTCAGATCACTAGAACTTTAACGAGTCTTTCTTCAGATACTTGTCTATATCCTCTGTTACAGGATGCTCCGAATCTCCTCCACTGAAGCAACTGAGAAGGAATCATAGAACCATGAAATATGTTGGGTTGGAAGGGACCTTTAAAGGCCATCTAGTCCAACACCCCTGCAGTGAGCAGGGACATCTTTAACTGGATCAGGTTGCTCAGAGCCCCATCAAGCCTGACCTTGAATGTCTTTAATGATGGAGCTTCCACCACCTCTCTGGGCAACCTGTGCCAGTATTTCACCACCCTCATAGGAAAGAACTTCTTCCTAATGTAATACCTCTGAGTCACTATAACACAAATGCTTACAAAAAATGTCAAACCATTAATGGCCTCCTCACACCACAATTATATGTGTTGTAGTGGTCATTTTTTTAAATAAAGAAAAATTATGTTAGTTTGGTCAAAAAAAAAGTCAAACAGCTGAATAAAGACCATACTATTCTAAATTAACTGCAGAAATACTGCAGGAAAGCAGTTTAGGCTGTCCCTCAAAATGCAGAAACTTTTTGTTTCTTTGGTGAATCATCTAAATGGTTTTACATGCTGCTTTCCATCATAAAAACAGCTACAGAAGAGATAGGATAACAAGAATGAACTCATTGATATCCATATGCACAGTAGCAGAAAAAGTTTACCAGTATTTAACAAAACACGCTAAAGAATACAGAACCTTTGTTTTGTAAAGCTCAAGTTCATTATCTGTTATTCTCCATGGTTCATCCTCCTTCATTTTGTCTGCAACTTCTTGTTCTTTATCGTCTTCGTGAAGTCGGAAAGGCTCTATCATTTCTTCAAAAGCTGCAATACTACAATGATGAACAGCCATATTATGAGCTTGTATGTCAGCAATGATGTTCATGACAGCAGTTTTATTACCATGGAAAAATAAAGTGGAATGAAGTTTTTTCACTGCCAATTGCAGTTAGAACATGAAATCACCTATTTGCACATGCAGGCACTGTAATACAACAAACAATTTCAGATATTAATAGGAGCTTTCAGTGTTCATCATGCAACTATAAATAAAATTTTAGCCATTTGAAAAAAAAAAAAGCAGCACAAGGTAACTATTCCTAGAGCTTTAGTAATATACTTTGAAAGTTGAAGAGTACTAACAAATTGGGTTTTTTTTGATACTTACTTTTCTTTCTTTGGCTTAGTATTAATATCCCCAAGAACCATAATGTCCGAGAAATCTATGCGAAATTTGCTGAGCAAAGTAGCCATCCTGTATCAGAAAAACATGCATGGATCAGATTTTAAATTACTTTACAGGGTAAACAGATAGGTGTTTTCTAATAAAACCACTAATGTAAGGATTAAAAAAAACAACAACAAAGCAACTTACATGTGATAGGAAAAAAAAAAAATCAAATTGACCTGGCATACAGCTATAAATCAACAACCTGTTTTGGGAAAAAAATATTTTAAACCCATAAAACTAAGAGAAGAACTCTCCTTTAAATACAACCTCAGAAAATATTTGAAAAAGGTTAGTGTCAGGAAATGCTGCAGAAAAATTAGTTTAAGTCGAGCTATCTCATCCAAAACAATGTGGGGGAAACTGAACTTTTTTGGAGAAAGTGAACAGAATATGATTATACTTCAGCCAAAGAACAACTGAAAGAAAAAGGCTACTTGGAAGACAAAGTAAACTACTGCGTAACATGCTCTAGCAGCATTCACAATGAAATCATTAAAGGTAAACTTACGCTCTTCTGTCATGATCAATCCTGTTTATTTTACCACCGATGAACACTCTAATCTTACAGTCTTTCCACTTCTTCTTGGTTGTAAGAAGATATGGGATCAGCAGTGTCAAACCTGCATTTTGATCAGAATTTGACAATGATTCAGAAAACCCAGCATTGTGTTAAGAATTTAATAGTACAAATTTGTCATCTATATAGGAACTGACTGAAAGATATCTATTAAGAACTAATTCAAAAACACTTTAATTTTTTTCAACATTTGTTTTCAAAGCATAAAGCGCATTACCTCCATCATCAAAGAGCCACCAGACATCAATATTGCTTTTGCCTTGTTTCTTCTGAAACTGAGTACTAGCATCAAGAAGTCTTTGGTCAGCCAGGTTTAAAGGAGAAGATGGGGTCTTTGAATCTGGAAAAAAATATCATTTAACTTCATTTTTGAAGTGTTTTGCTTAATCACCCTGAAATTCATCAAATGCCACTTGCTAATATTTTATGGTATCTCTTTAAGTTTAAACAAAAATAGTTTCTTCCCCAGCTCCAGATTTTGATTGAGTGGATATAAACTGAGCTACGCTTCAGGAGTGTGCAAACTTGTAACTTCAGCCACTAAAGATTTAAATTACTAACTCATTTAACAGACATTATTCAAATATAATATTTTGTGGTATCTCTTTAAGTTTAAACGAAAATAGTTTCTTCCCCAGCTCCAGATTTTTGATTGAGTGGATATAAACTGAGCTACGCTTCAGGAGTGTGCAAACTTGTAACTTCAGCCACTAAAGATTTAAATTACTAACTCATTTAACAGACATTATTCAAATAAAGTATCTGTAAGATATCTATACGGTCACTTTCCTGGATGATTTAATCATTGCATAAATACTTCAGAGCACTGGGTCATGCACTGTTGCTACCTTCTTGCACATGACAAAACTTCCCTAAAAACATATAAATACTAATTTACAAATAAATACCATGTCCATGGCACTTTTCTTAAATTCATTTTTCTTCAAGCATGTGGTGAAAGTAACAGCTAGCTGTGTGCACTAGAATTCTATTTTTTGCAACAAGTATTGTTTTGCATGTGCAAGGCTCTGAAGCACAGTATAGACTATTTTGGGTAACAAAGTTATTAGACTTGCTGAGAACAAGACAACAATGGCATTCTCAACTACATTAATACTGATAGATATGTTTTCTTTATAGAAAAAACATGCCCCTCTCCTTTAAGTAAAACCTCAGTTTCAACTAGAGCCAAGAGTTTGTTACTCATCTCCATCCTTATTTTATTAGGAATTTTTAAAGATAGAGTACATCTGTGACTGATTTACATTAATATACTACTTTACTGCATACCGGGACTTCTACCAAACCACCATCTTATGCTTCAAGAGGTAATCTCACTTTCCATTATTAAAACACAACAGCTTCTAGCTGTTGAAATTATGAAGAAAATGTCAAAAAAGTTAGATGAATTCTTAGTTGAGGCAAAAACATTTGCTTAACTCCAAGAAGTCCAAAATAAGCCAGGAAGTGACAACTGCTCAACTCTCCTCTCAAAATGCTTTCTTTGAATGACTACTTAGCATTATTTCAGGTGTTAATTTCACTGAGTGCCTATATTACACCTTAATTTGCAAGCTGTTGAACAATTCCAAATAACAGAGCAACAACTATGGCTTTAGAAGATCTACTGAAAAGAATGATGGAGCACTTGTACTATACCATTAGGTAATATTACCCTTACTCCTAAATCAACTAAGGACCCAGGCAGATACCTGAGACGCATTTCAAGTGTTACACAAGAACAAAATTTAAAAAAAAATAAATAAATCCAGTATTCATATCTTAGACACTTATCCTATCCTTTCTCAGTAGCAACTTGTTCAGGAAATTTCACAAAATTGCATTTTTCCTCAGCCTAATCCTTGAAGATGTTATGAAGACACAAATTAACATTGCATGGTTGATATTTTCCTCTCTGAAATGTATGTGCAGAATGGAGTACAAAAGGAAAACTGAAATTAATGATGTGAAAGAATGATTTAACACAAAAAGGTGGAAAATGCCTGCCTTTTTTCAACAGTGGCTGTGTTGGAGTCTTTCCATCTTCGTCTTCCTCTGGAAGATTTTTAAAGATACAAAATAAAAAGGTTAATTTCCTTTGTGATGTTAATGAAAACATTACTAGTGCACATATTAAAAAAAAAGGAAAATAAAGATGTAGGATGAAATGGATCTTCATACAAAGAAAAGCACACAAATGCAGTCTACCAGATCCTGAGTTTTATTTGGACTATTTGTACTTAAAAGAAAACAATGAATCACATTGCTCATTTAACTATTAAGTCACTCCACGCTTTTACTTTAATGAGGAAAGTTGCTAACTGTCATGTCAGAGTATCCTGAATGATTTGTGTCTGTTAACATACATATAATATTCTACAGCAACCTTCAAATCGATGTGTGGCACAATTCTGAGGTTTTAATGTCTGTTAAAGTCATTACGAAAGAAAATCCGTGGCAGTTCATTGTCCACCATCTGCTTTATTTAGGGGACTAGTTGTCAAAGATTCTTTTTACATACTGGTTAAGCTCTAAACCAAAGTACTTAAGTGATTAGGTATCAACAGCTAGAAAAGCATGACACATTTATGTTCCACAGACACAAAATCCCTTAAACAATTCCTTGGTGAGAGGAGAGAGGAACTGAAGAGGAAATGAGAGAGAAAAAGAATAAAAACTCAAGTTTCATTGCTAACCAGCAAGTTACCTTTCTGTAGAGCAGTTCTTTCACTAGATGATGGTGCAAAAGCTATACAAGTGTCTGTCTCAGCCTTCTTCGTGTAATCCACTTTTACTATGACATCCTTGGTACACGGAGATTTTTCTTGGGATGACAGTAACTCTTCTTTAAGAAAGCAAAGAAACACATGATAAGCCACTTAATTGTTCCAAATGGCATCAATAGAGATCTGTGACTATACTGAGACAGTACACAGTTGGTTAAACTCTCCTGCAACTGTTAAGCTATTGCAAAGAGAGGAATAAGAAAAAAAGCAGAAAAAAAAAGTCTTTTATGAACTGCTCCAGGGTAGAAAGAGGCTTCTCCTCTGAGCAGAGCTGTAATTGCCTGCTACTTCCTTCCCAGATTTGGGGTGTTGATCGTATTACTACAGGCTAAACATGAAACAGCTAGCTAACACTGAGAATAACCAACCAGGAGGAAAAAAAAAAAATATTGGTGAAACTTTTTCCATTTCTACTCTAACTCCAGGAGAAGGATGAGCCTTAGACAAGGCCTAGAACACCTAAGTCCCACAGCCAAGTTTTTTTTCCAGGTTTGGCTTCAGTGAAGCTACTTGGTTTGTCAAAGTTAAACCAAACTCACAATCCCCAGCGGATACTCTGAAACTCCTCTGACACCTTCGTGTTGTATTACTTAGTTCTCTCAGCAGTGTTTTTTTCACACTGCAGGCTCGCTCCTTGCTGTTTCTCACACTTCTCTGGTCTCTTGCTGTCTGCCTCTCCCCAAATCCTAAACATTCCTATGTTTCCAGTGAAGGAAAAACTCTCTCCTCTTTCAGAAGGATGCCCCCCTACAGAGCTTGTGACACAAGCATTCCTCCTTACCATAGCAACATTGCACAGAGCAAGCTACAAAGTAGACGTTATCATTTTGGTAGACAGTTGCCACCAAAGCTCACAGGAATCTATTATTCTGCTTCAAATTCAACTAAAATAATGCCATTCGATTTAAGACCACTACCTACAAAGCATAACCAAGTCTTCTACACTGAAAATAGAAAACTTTTCTGAACTAAAGATAGACTACTGCTGAGGTTTCTAAACTAGTGTATATAGGAGTTGGCAACCCACACCAGATCCCCTGCATTCTTGGATGATGCAGCATTTCTGATTTTCATGATTCCTAGACGTGGGTCCTAAATCCTTGATACCAGTTTGGCAGCTTCCTTTGTTTCAGTAAATGGTAAATCCTCCAAAAGTAACTATATATAGCTCAGAAATACAGACAGTTGAAACGTAGAGAAAACTGGAGTTCTGTTGCTGAATATGAGTTATTCTTCTTTTATATTTAAGATTTAACAATTTCACTGATTTTTATTCTGTAAGAGAAGCGGTGGGTTTAGATTAGCTTTTATTTTTTAATAACTTATCTTAATCTAGTATTTTCTGAGAGCAGTACTAAAAGGGATTTAGAACAGCTATTTACCAGACAAAAGAAAATAAAACTTACCTTGGCCCTGAAGGTGAGAAATGTCTAGACCCTCCTTTAGGCGGATGACAACTACACCATACTGAACATCAAAGGCATCACTAAACAAAAGGAACAAAAATAAAGTATTTTACAACTTTTTCTTTCCCAAAGAACCGAATTTACACACCCTCTTGGAACACACTCCAGTGACTAAACACTTTCACTTAAAATTCCAAATCATAAATCTGTGTTACATTTTCAGTTTCAATTCCAAACTATAAACTGCATCAGTGAACAGAACATCATATCCTGAAAAGTAACACACAGCAAGGATATCTAGTACCTCTCCTCCCTTTCTCATCCTATGTATACAGCAATTAAATAAAAGCAATATGAACAGGTCAAATTCTGCACAGATGATAAGATACACTAAGAAATCTGTATTTTTATCTCCCCCCATCAATAAAGGGATTTATTTTGAGACGGTCTCCTTGATCTGAGAACTAAAAATTTCTGCTATCTTTCAACATTTGGGTATTAAAACATCAATGAAGTTGTAATTTAGAAACAAATTAGCTGTATGCTAGCTATAATGTACCTATTCCTATAATATCTGATAGGAAAGGAACTCACTCTTTAAAAAAATAGAGGGAAAACATTTTTGTAGAAACAAGAAAAAGGCCTAAATAAATGACTGAGTAAAATGAAGGACAAAAACACCCCAAGATATAAGACAGAAAAACATGAATTTAACGATATCATACAGTTTGCATTACTCATTAATTATCGGTCTTTGAGATATAAATACCTCCTTACAATAGCCATGTATCAGAGAACTCCCTTCCATGTTATTTCCACAGACAGAAATTTCTTGGGATTTCACTCATTAAACACTTCTTTTTCAAAATAGTAAGACTCAATAGAAATGTTCAAAGTATCAATATATTCCAGTATTAGTAGTGGGAGATTCTCTTTTGAGGGCCATTGAGGTGCTCATTTGCCAACCTGACCTGCTGTCTACAGAGGTTTTCTGCTCCGGGGAAGGCTAGGATTTAAGATGTTACTGAGAGACTGCTAAATCTGGTACATGCCACAGACCAGTGACTCTCAAAGAGTAGCCTTCCAGTCCTTAAAAGGGGGCTACAGGAAAGAAGGGGATGTGATCTTTATCAGGGAGTGTAGTGGTAGGATGAGGGGTAATGGTTTCAAACTGAAAGAGAGTAGATTTAGATTAGATATTAAGAAGAAATTCTTTTCTGTGAGGGTGTTGAGGCACTGGAACAGGTTGCCCAGAGACGTTGTGGATGCTCCCTCCCTGGAAGTGTTTAAGGCCAGGCTGGATGGGGCTTTCAGCAATGCCGTCTAGTGGGAGGTGTCCCTGCCCATGGCAGGAGAACTAGATGATCTTTAAAGGTTTCTACAAACCAAACCATTTTATGATTGTATGGTAAATGTAAAACACAAATGAATTGGTTAAGCAGCACATAAGAAAAAAAAAATGTCCTCTGTGTAAGTGCAATAAGCAAGTTTTGGTTTCCTTAAGTGTTTGTAGCACAAGTTATTCTATTAAATCTTTCAGCCAGAACTGGTCTGCCTTTCAGCACTGTCAAATTACACTACGATTTCCTTTCCCATCTCCTTTTTGGCTACTGTATTACTCTGAGCGTCAGTGCTGTTTATGTTGTAAGATACAAGGTTTAACAAAGTCAGACCTTTAGCCTAAGAGTTGATCCCTTCTCTACTACACTTAATATGTACAGGGGCAGTGCAGGAAAAACCCTTTAAAGCATAGCTTCTGTTGAAAGAAGAATTCAGGAGACTGGCACATAAGACACTACTTTCAACAGAAGCTATGCTTTAAAGAATTCAGGAGACTGGCACATAAGACACTAGAGTTCTGTCTCTAAATCGATTAACTCTTGAACCTCATACCACTGTCACAATGCCTCCCAGATTCAGATCTTTACCCATTTTAACGATGAAGAAATGCATGTTAATTTCCAAACACGAAGAGAACAAGGTATTGAATATTGAAGACTGCTAGATCAGCAACACGGAAATTCTGAGTCTATCTCAAAAAGACTTCATGCAACTAAGATCTACTTACAAAACTTATTACAAAACATACTGCAATGGAATATAGGAGCTACGCCTCCACATTTTCAACTTACTGGAATAAATTGATATAGGTTTCAACATCTCTCATGTCACCTTGTCTCCAGTTTTTCTTAAACCCAACAACAAGGGTGTTAGGTCTCATTCTACCCAGACCAGCAGCCTAAGAAGAACAAAAATATATTTTTTTAAAAACCATGTTAATCAAACAACTAAAGGTCCTATTATTTTCTTACGCAGGAAACTAAGTATTTTTCATCAAAGTTTCAAGATAACTTTGCAAAATAAAACCACTTTGAAGTATAAAAACTCTTCCAATTTTGACCTTCATCCTCACCACTTTCACTTTAAAAAATAAAATAAAATTAAGAGAGGTGTACCTGCATTAAATACTGTCCTCCATCCCTCAAGTCTTCTGCATGCACTGGTGCATAGAATGCCTTCATCTTGTTTTTAATTAGCCATCGCTGGTATTTAGCCAAATCAGTTGATAGTTCCTTCATGGCTTGCCTCCGAGGACCCTTTCAAAATAAGGAAGTAAAAGAAATAGAGAAAACAAGAATTATGAGTATGACTAGTAATGGTAATAAACACCTCCCCTCCCATTTTTTTTATTTTACTGGTAGAATTGAATTAATAGTCAAAGAACTCAAAACATACTTCCACATTATCAAAAAAATCAAGAGTAGAGATTCTTGAGAGAGATTTTCTCTTGTGAAGAGGAGGTTTGCTCAAGCTTTGGCAACCTTGTTCCTGCAAAACACACTTCCCCAGCAGGTGGCACAAGCTTGTCCTCCAAAGCATAAGGTAATTTTAAAAGTAAAAGGCTTTGCAATGAAACACACACAGATATAGGATGGGTTAACATTAGCCTTTATAGGAATATTTGTTTCAAGTTGTACAAGTGTGGCTCCACGTGTATATACAATGCTAAACGAAAGCCTTTGTCACAGTAGTGTGATTTCTGCAGTTTAATGTTACAGTCAAAGTTATCTCCTCTTTAAATACTTTCTTTTTATTACTTCTGTCAGGATGAAAACCACTGTGTTCCTCCTAGACATCAAAATGCAGAATACAGGATGAGGTATAACTGAGAACACAGCAGGCTGCTTTTTTTTTTTTTACAAAAGGATACAGTTCGCAAAAAGATGTAAGACTGGCCATTTGGTCAAAGTTAGTCAAGAACAAAGTGGTGTCATACTTCTTGTAGGAAAGCAATTCTGAAAAGAGATAGGATACGCTCCCAAAAAATCTCTAATCAGAATTGCTTTCCTATAAGAAGGGTGACACTACTTTACTCTTTTCAGCACAGCTACTTTTGAAAAACAGTAATTCCACCTATGATATCCTGCCTCCTTAGTATTACTCAGTTTCTGTCCTTTGAACTCAATGAAATTTTAAGTTTGTATAAACAGGAATTAAAAGCATTAAAATTTCTGAATGCATAACTATCCAATATTTGCCTAGGAAAATATACGTTCTGTGGACTGCATTAAATTGATTTACTTTTATCTGTTGATTGCATGAGAAATCATATTGGGCTAGTATGGTAAACTTAAATATATTTAACAGTAATCACATTACTCTTCCTTAAATGTTCTTAGAGATGTAACAGAAAAAGTTTAGCTTTAAAATATGATGCAAAACTACTCAATCCCAATGTGCTAGAACACATTTACCGATGCTAATCAGACACGGAACAGCCTCTCTGCAGCTAACTGAAGTTTTCATAGAAACATAGATTCATTAAGGTTGGAAAAGACCTCAAAGATCAAGTCCAACCATCAACACAATACTACCATGACTACTAAACTATATCCTCAAGTGCCTTGTCTACACCAGGGATGGTGACTCCATCACCTCCCTGGACAGCCTGTTCCAGTGCCTCACCACTCTTTCAGTAAAGAAATTTTTCCTAATATCCAATCTAAACCTCCCCTGGTGCAACTTGAGCTCATTTCCTCTTGTCCAATCACTAGTAGCTTGGGAGAAGAGACCAACCCTCACCTCATCACAACATCCTCTCAGGCAATTGTAGGGAGCAATAAGGTCTCCTCTCAGCCTCCTTTTCTCCAGACTAAACCATCCCAGTTCCCTCAGTGGCTCCTCGTAAGACAAGTTCTGTAGACCCCTTACCAGCTTCGTTGCCCTTCTCTGAATCTGCTCCAGCACCTTGATGTCCTTTCTTATACTCCAGTGCTCAAAACTGCACGCAGTACTCAAGCTGTGGCCTCACCAGTGCCAAGTGCAGGGGCATGATCACCTCCCTCCTCCTGCTGGCCACACTATTCCTGATACAGGCCAGGATGCTGTTGGCCTTCCTGGCCACCTGGGCACACTGCTGGCTCATGTTCAGCTGGCTCTGCACCATAACCCCCGTGTCTTTTTCTGCGAGGCAACTTTCCAGCGACTCTGCCCCAAGCCTGCAGTGCTGCCTGAGGTGGGTACAAAATGTGATATGACAGCCACCATAGTTCACAATTAAGTCATGATAAGCATGATTTTGAAGAACACTTACTTGAAGCTTGCTTCCTTCCCCCTACCCTAAAACCTATACAGGTCTCCTGTAGAAGTTTTTCAAAAGTAGTAAGAACTGCTGAAATTATGTCCTTGCAGAACAGCCCTCACAAACGTCCAGCCCTCAGAAAATTCACACCTCATGTCCTGACAAAAAACAGGGAAAGATACTGAAATACTAGGGGGCTCAGCAGAAAGGGAACAGGAAAGGAAATGTCTGTTCACATTACTGGTTCACCTGCCAGTGAAATGAATCTGGTAATAGAAGGAATAAAAAAGAACTACTTAAAAGGTTAAGAGCAATTTGTAATAACTATTGGCTAAACTGGCACTAAATCTACTGCTCAAGGTTTATTTTAACCTAGGCTTTGAAAGAAATCTACATAGGAATCAGTGTCCATGAAATAGTAACATTTCAAGGAAATCCAGCTGCATACTGTATATCATTTTGACCAACTGCTCTGCCTAAAGCAGGAGAGAGTACATGGGGCTGTATGACACAAAGACTGAAGATACTTAAGCTGTAATCCAATGTTCATTTTATTCCTACAAAGCTTCCTCACAGTAACATCAAACAATCAAAAGTACTAATTTTACAAAGTTTCCCCTGTAATATACTTAACTGGAATAATGATGACCCATGCATAAGTGGATCCTACCAGTAAATCCCTATTTGTGCACTTCTAAATGTATAATGATGCTTTAATTAAAAAAAAAAAAAACAAACAACTAAAAGCCCTCTACACAAACAAAAAGCAAACCAAATACAAAACAATACAAAAAACAAATCAAACCACAACAAAAACAAAATGCAAGGTAACTTTTAAAGTAAAGATAGAATACACTTACTTACCATGTGTACGTGCCCACAGATCATCAAGCCCACATTCTTGGTGAAAGCATGGACAAGGTGAAGCAAAGCTGGACGTGCATTTGGAGCACCTGTCATAATTAAGCACTGAGGTCTAAAATTGTGAATAGATAAGGAGAAAAAAGAATACTGACTTTAATTTCACCTGGATTTGCTGGGGTTTTTTTACTAAGAGAAATAAGTTTCTTCCAAATACCGGCCACAAGAACATAATCATACTGAAGAGGTAATAACTAATCTAGGCTAATTTAAATAAAGATAAATTTTTCCACAAGTGTCAGCTGATCTATGATTATCTGGTTCCAAATGTAGTAATTCTACTAAATCTGAAAATGTACACATTTAAAAATCAGAATCAGATTTTAGACAAAACTAGGTCAGAACAATGAATTTCTTCTCCTAATGGTAAGTCACATCCCTCTGCATTTTCTAGCTTACATTCCTCTGTGCCCAGCAGAAAAACTGGAGTCATATTCTTTAAATTAGTATCATTCAGAAGCTGGACCCAAACAATCGCAACTAAGTTAATCTAGACAACTATGTAATCCATTTTGAAAGATGAAGTGTTCAGACTCCAGAACTCAGGAGATAATTTTTTGTATCTTAAGAATCATCTCAAGTAATTCCTCTTGCTTATTTGCCATATTAGAATCACAGAATTATTTAGGTTGGAAAAGACTTTCAAGTCCAACCGTTAACTTAGCACTACCAAATCCACCACTAGACCATGTCCCTAAAGTATCACATCTACCTATCTTTTTAGTACCTCCAAGGATTCGGACTCAACCACTTCCCTCAGCAGCCTGTGCCAGTGCTTAACAACCCTCACAGTGAAGAAATTTTTCTTAATATCCAATCTAAACTTCATCTGGTGAAACTCAAGGCCATTCCCTCTTGTCCTATTACTTGTTACTTGGGAAAACAGATCAATGGTGTTGGTCTCGCCTCACATAGTTGCAGAGAACTATAAGGTCTCCCCTCAGTCTCCTTTTCTCCACACTAAACAACCTCAGTTTCTTCAACCATTGCTCCTGTGTTCTACACCTTTCAACAGCTTCCCTCCCCTTCTCTGGACATGCTTCACAGCACCTCAACATCTTTTTTGTAGTGAGAGGCCCAAAACCGAATACAGGATTTAAGATGCTGAGGCTTCACCATTGCTGAGTACAGGGTTAAAATCTCTGCCCTGCCCCTGCTCGGCCACAGTATTTCTAATACAGGCCAGGATGCTGTTGGCCTTCTTTGCCACCTGGGCACACTGAGGACTCCTACGCAGCCAGGCGTTGACCAGCACTCCCAGCTCCTTTTCTGCCAGACAGCTCTCCAGCCACTCCTCCCCAAGCCTGTAGCACTGCCTGGGGTTGTTGTGACCCAAGGGCAGGACCCAGCACTTGGCCTTGTTGAACCTCAAACAACTGGCCTAGGCCCATCAATTCGATCTGTACAGATTCCTCTGTAGTGCCTTCCTACCCTCAACCAAGATCAACACGCCCACACAACTTTGTGTCATCTGCAAACTTACATTCTAAACCAGAGGAGTTCAATATTTATTTATAATGTATCTCTAGAACTCAAAAATACTTTCTTGTTCTAGGTTAGAAACCAGTAGCAGGCTAAAAACAGTTCTCCTAAAGTCACTGTGCTTAGAACTGGCTTACACTGAGATCTATCTCCTTAGGATAACAATTACAGAACATTAAAACTCAGAAAGCCATATACTAGCTTTCCAAACAAAATCGCTGAAGTACTCCCAATGCAACCCTAAATACACACTGAGCAGCAGAGCAGTTGTTTACTTCATCAGCACAAACTGAAGATTACACTTGCTAAGAATTTTCCTAGAAAGCTTTCTTCTAAATCGAAATTTGCAACCAAAAATAGACTCACAGAAGAAAGAAGTAAGGGTGCAACACCAATTACAGTTATGTATTGTAAATAACAATGCTAGCCTTTAGATTTGCATTAGGGAAAGTCTCCTCTTGATACATAAGCAACAAGTTTCTGAATGCAAACTTATCTCCTGTTTAAAATGCAGCTTGATGTAATAAGGAATAAAATGTTTGTATAAAAACCAGGGAATTTGATGTCACATTAAGGGTCAGAACCTCATAAAGAAGAGTTGTTTCATAATTAAACTTCAAGTTTTGTAGTTAATACCTACAACAGCAAACTCCTCTCAGTTTGCAAGTAGAAAGCCCAGTAATACTGATATGAATACACTGGTAATTTAGTTTTATTGTCGTGTTCTTTGAGGTTGTACCTAGGCTAGTACCTATCATGACAGGTTGACATATCCAATTTCAACTGTCTATATGTTCGCAATATTGACATTTTAAGTATTCTGAGAAAACTTAGTCACTTTCAACAGAGGCTAAGGGTCAGAACTGGAGAATTTCCCAGCTGACAGGAAATATCATAGACCTTTTCTTTGCAAAACTGTGTTGCTGCCGGGTTCTGCATTCTGCATTCAAGAGAATGGCAAATGTATCAAGAATCTCTCCCTCAGCTCACTCCTTAATAAATGCTGTCTCAAGTATGCCAAGTCACCCTTTGTTAACAACCAAAGATTTTAATAGCTAGATTCCCCTGCTAATTTGTTGAGCATAACAGAACAATACAGTTTTACAGCTGCAAGGGATGATAGAGATTTGCTGGACTAAGTGCCAACAATATAAATCTTGTGCTGGGCAGCATGTAGGAGGTGACTGCTCCAGTTGAGGAGGGTCAACAGAACCTCTATCCTTGGAAATACTCAAAACTTCACTGGATATGGCCCTAAGTAACCTGATATAATGTTAAAGTTCAATCTGAATTTTGCAGCTGCATCAATGGTGAGTCAGTTGAGTCGGGGGCTGGACAAGGCCACATGGCAAAATCATCTTAAATCTGTGATTCTATTTTTTTGGAGGAATTAGTTTTAAGTAAATTTTTTTTGTTGTTGTTAAAATGTTTTGAAGCATCTTTCTTCTACAGTAGTTTATTCCAGAAAAGTGGCATAAATACTACAGGACAGAAAACTGCCTCTTTGAATAGAACCTTCCTGGGTATTCATGCTGGCAGAAAAGAAAACATTTCTCTTCTTCAGGTATATGAAAAACACTCATGCAGCCTGTTTGCCATTACTGAAATGCAATCAGAGAATAGCCTAATGAGGTAGATAGTGTTGAGGATAATATCCAAAGTATATACATCTTGGGGATTTTCAGTTAGATCAGTTTTATCTCTATAATGTGAATTAAATGCTGATTAGCAGTTTGCAGCACATCCTCCAATTCAGTTTCGTGAAAGAGGAATGAAATTCACAGTTCATGATGCAAACCATGAGACATCTATACAACAAGCAGCCATCTTCCAAGACTTGCTTCTAAAGTGCACTCTGAATCAGAAATAAAATGCTAATGTAAATATGTCCAGAGCATGACCATGGTGGTGAAAATCTAAATTACTAGAACCCACAGGAGATGAACAGGCATTTCATGGAACACACGATGGTGAACACTGTGACAATACACTACTGAATACATAGAAGTAATTTCCTATGTCTTTAATATTAACTGTTACCTGAAGTTTTTCACGTGATCTTCCACTCCTGAGAGCCGAATAGAATGCTGCAGTGCATTCAAGTAAGTCAAAGCTTGTGTTGAGGAACCCCAGTTCACATCTGTTGAAATATTTGAAGTTCCCAATATTTTACTTAAAGCTGTTCATTTTAAAACTGCACTATCACAAAATGAATGTCAAATACCAACTGAAAACACAAGAGACTTAACCTGCATCTTGGTAGATTCTACACAATACTAGTCAAACAAACCCTAGAGCTAAATACGCAATTCTACTTAGATAACATTTCTGTAGTGGTTTTAGCAACTGAGTTAAGAGTTTGATATTTTACAGTTATAGGCAGAAAGAATTACGGTTTTTTTCTCCAACTTTTCAAAGATTGTGACAACTTCAGAGTTGTTTAGTTATTTTATATCACAGTGAAGGAAGAAGTATTCTCAAAACATGTCTGAACAAAGTCAAATACTGTCAGTAAAAACCTGCTACACTAAGCAGTTCCTTTTAGAATGTGATTTTTATAAGGAAATGAAAGATCCCAGTATTCTCTCTACTTGTTCCCATACACATATTCTGATACAAATGAATTTATCTTCCAAGTACTTCATAATCTTCAGAGCTTACTTTCAACTTCAGGAACACTTTTTGGTTCAGTACTGCTCCAACTTGCACTTATGATCATACAGTGCTCTTACGAGAAGGAATAAAGCATATAAATTGTTTTTCATAGCTATACGAATAGTTTACTGGAAAAAAACACCACTCAAATCTCTTTTCAGTTTGGAAAGATAAGGGAGAAAGCATCTTCTTTTACTTCGTAGTAAAACATAACATACTTTCCTAGTGCCCTTGTTGCTGCAAGCCGGGCTTTTTCCATATGCACCTTTTCCTCAAATTTTCATTCAAAACTTTACGTCTAAGTGCAAGGCATACATCTTCATAATTTGGGAGGAACAACAGTAGTAACTACACAGGCATAATTGTATTTCATTACATCTAAAAAGCCTGTTAACAGAAATTCAAACTAGTTAGCCAAACAGAACTAAGTTCTCATTTTTTTTTTTTTTTCTGTAAAGATCATCACTTTTTCTATTCTTCTACAACTCTTTTTCTCCTACCATAAGCAGAATAAAGCCCCATACATACCTGGTTTCTTGTAGGTGACATAAATGTACAGTCCAAGGACTATGACATATGTTAAAAGTGCTGCCCACCAATTAATGACAAACATCACAATGCAGCACAGAATAGCTCCAACCAGAGAAATCCACATGTTGTAGTATTTGAAAGCAGGGCGCCAACCTAGTCAAAATAAAAATTGGAAGACAGAAAAGAGAAAGGAAATTCAATCACTACTTGAAGAAAAGGAAGATACTATTCTTTTCCTTCTCTGGTGTTCTGCATCATATGTGTGACAGTTTCAGTAATGTACAAAATAAAGACTGAGACATTTATACTTTCAAATTTCCAACATCTTTCAAATCAATTGCATCCTTCTTTAATAGATACGTAAAATTTTCCTAATTTTGCCCTCTAAAAGGAAAGTGTGAAGATGCTTGTGTTAGTATGTCTACTGAGCCAGGCTAACAAGCCAACAGCTTGCATGACAACTGATTTTTTGCTTTCAAAGGTAGCGTAACATGAATCATCAGCTCACACTCTCTCACATACTATTAACTGTTTCTAGTTGTGTAGTTCTACTGTTTTCATATAGCCAGAAATTTTCACCACATGAAACAGAAAAGGACAGGCATGGCCAAGTAGAACTTGAGTATATCAAAATACTGCATTGTCATTGTTTTACATCCTTATTTGTCACAAGTTTATCCAAAATCAGGTAAATACACACACTCACCCCAACTAACACACCCAAGCTTAACAAGTGTAACAGATGTGTAACTGTTGTGTAAACAGAGGTATGCACATACTCTGGCAAAACAATATCCAGCAGTTCAGCAACTTAAGAAGGTTTTAAGGGCATTATTTCAGTACAATTGCATACTGGACTGGGTCTGTTCTACAAGGACTGTGTTTCGGCTTATTCCTATAATCCAACTCACTTCCCACACCAAAGAAGACCAAAGGGTGGTTCTTGAACACCCAATACTGAATTAGCAAGAAAGCTTTCTTCAAGAGTTTCTGAAAAAATATCGAATTATCTTGTGTTCCCTCAGCAAAGATGACAAAATTAGTAGCTACTGAACTGTCCTGGATCACGCAGTTCTCAAAATTTCAGAAGACCCAAGAACACACCATAATACATTTGTCATTCAGATTCACCATGAGACTCAAACAGCTATTTAGTAACTAAATTAAACTAAGCATACATTTATATTAATACCATTTAAATCGTATTTATGCATAGAAAAATGCAGGATAAACTCTCACCCTCAAAACATAGTTCCTACCTGGAGACTTTGCAAGAGAAGCATGGAATACAGAGAAGTTAATCAAGGCATATGAGGCCAAGAAGAAATTAGAAATAATTGGAGCAATGACGTTCAGTTCAGCTGTAAAACCAAAAACAAGGCAGGCTGTTATGAAAGGTATCATCCAATGGCTTTGTAGATTCCTGAGTAAAAAACCTGCTACAAGCAACCTTTTTTCTGGGGTGCTCTTTGGAGAAGTAGTTTGTCCTTTTTGTTAAGTGGATAGAGCAATTTTCCTAATGGTCTATTTTTCACAAAGTTAATATTTAATAGTCAGGAAGTTTTAAAAATTCAAACATTTTTCCTTTCTGCCACTTTTGAAGCGTTTCATACTTTCTCAAAACAATTAATTGAGAAAATTTCTTTCCCGTCAGAGCTGGATCGAACACCACCACACTAGGTTCTAAAGAAATGTCAGAAACAGTAGATAGAGCATTAATACATCCGCAGCACTTCTCTAGCTCAACTCTCCAACAGCAAAGAACACGATACTAATAGGTTTAAGAGACAATCAACTATGGTGAATGGCAAAAGCAGATCAAATTAGTGTAAGCAATGTGACAAATATGTTCATCTACGTGCATTTTAAATTAAATGTTGCATCAATGGTACTAGCACAGTGCACTATTACAGACCAACACCATCACAACAGTGATGGGACACTCTTTAGTGAAAGATTTGGAAGATTCTGAATGCCCTCGTTTCCTTGAGGCAGGACAGTACAAACACTTACATGGGTACTCTCAGCATCAAAAAAAAATATCAAAATGCAGAATGCGCCATGCTAGTCTACACGTTTCTACTCTTAATAAAGCTTCCAGTCAGCATGCTGCTGTAGGGACATCATGGACACACCTGTGCCTTAAACAGACTTAGGGAAAGGATGAGAGCAAACTAGGTAACAAAGTTTAAAAGCACTGCTACAGGACTTACGGATGGACACAGCACAATTAGTTTGCCATCTACATAAAACACATGTAATTCTACCTAGACTATCTTTACCTTTAGCAACAGCAGCATCAGCACTCATCTTTACTGTTTGTAACTTAACAGAAAAACACACTTTAAAAACTATTGTTTATGCAAGTTTGCTATTTACTGAAGCTAATTATTAAATATCTAAAATAAACTTTCATGTTTACAAGACAGAACACTTCTCAACCTCAAGCAAAACATGTATTTTTATTGGTAATATCTAAAGACAAGCACTTGCAGTTATTAAGAAAACGGCAGTATTACTACAGTTCAATTATACTGCAGTTCTACACAGCATTGTATCTAGAAGGCAGGCAAAAGTAACTCTCAAACAGATTTACAGTGCTGGCTTAGAATTATGCTGTGCATTAGAACTCTAAGACACTGTCATCAAGTCATGACATGGAACAGAAGGTTTCTACAATAATTTCAAACTAACCAATTAGTATGAATCCAAGAGCAATTAAAAATGTTAGAAGATATCCTCTCAGTGGTTCATTGTTCTTCCCATAGCCTTTAGCAAACATCTGAAATCCTGGATAAATGTTGTCCTTGCACAAAGCCTAAGAAAAAATAAAATTCAAGAGTCAGCAGGCTTTTTGTTCAAAACTTATCCTTAATAATGCTTACTAAATGCTGTCTTCCACTGCCTATTATCTTCCCAAAAGAAAAAGCTGATAGCCACTATGTACTAATTCTGTTTTCAATTGTCTTTGCATCTTGACATTTTGCATTTCCAATATTCTATCCTTCAGTAATTTCCATCTATAAGAACAAGCATGGCTCTTCTGTAAGTAATTGACTATCTTACTTTACTGGTACCTTACAATCACAAAGACTCGTTCTTTAGAGATGCCTTCTCAGAAATCAGGGAGTTCGCTCAATATATACACTACTTCTCTGCATCCATACTTAGACTTCTATTATGCAAAAAAATCCCTTCTACATTTGACTCCCTACTGAACTTTTGGGAAAGTAGGTCATTAGAGGACACTAAAGTTCACTGAAGAGAGCTTGCAAGACAAAGACTCCAATTAAATAGTTAAAAAGAAAGTAAAACAAAAGACACATATGATTTACACACAAACTGGTACACAATTAGTCTGATGCAATGTAAGATTCTACAGCTGCAGGTTCTACTGCATGCTGTCTCCTTCTATGATTGAGAAACCAAGTGATCTGTACCCTTTGTATGTGCTCCACTGTTACTTGCAACAAAAAAAAATCTAAAGGAGTTTGCAGATGCTTGAAATGTTAGTTACACCACAACTAATCTCTAAACTAAGCAGAAACACAAGACATTCTAAGCAACATGTAAACATTTGATCCATCTGTGGATGTCAGCTGGCATGAATCATGACGGTCATATGTCAGAGTCCATTACCAAAAATTCTGATTCATAAGTTAATTAACATTATTCTTTAAAATACTGTTGTTTTACTTCCCTACTTACCTGGAAGATCTTAGGTGCACTCACAAGAGATGCTAAAGCAGAAGACAGGGTGGCTGAAAAAATACCTGCAGAAATCAGCGGTGCAAATCCTGATACCATGCTCATCACCTAAAAGCAAAGTATTTTTTTCTTAAAGAACATGAAAAAACATACTATACAAATGGATGGCAACATTAAGTACACCAACTAGAAGATAAAACACTGCGTACCCTCCCCCTTAAAAGCTGTTTGAGAATCATGTATTCACATCAATGAATGAAATAGGGATGAATCAGAGGTTTGGAATGGATCCTTATTTTGGAATTAGAGAAGGTGTCTTTTCACACAATAGGTAGTCCAACCATGTAATTTGCAGGTCAAAATAATCAACAGCTGAAGTCTTCATGGGTTCATAGAAGGCTTAAATACAAGTTATGGAAGAAAGATAGACTGGAATTTGTTACGAATTTGTTACACTGGAATTTTGACCAACCTACTGCTGAATAACATGCTCTCAGAAAGTCCAAGTGACAAAAACAACTGAAACTGGGGAACATCTTGAGAAAGTTGTCTTTCTCACCATCTACATCACTCTAAATTAGGCTTGTTTCCCATTCAAAACCACAATGACAGAACGAACTTGCTTCCCATCTCCCTAAGACTGCATCCTAGGACATCTCTGTAACCTAACAAAATTATAATCAATAAGCTAAGTGTAAAAGAACAATGTTGATAAGGCATTAGAACCAAAAATCCCAAATTAGAACCAAAGCAAACATCTGTCTAATTGCCATATAGCCTGAAGACACTCTTCTACCATTCTACTGATTACTGGTATACCTTAGCTGCATACAGTTTTACATGTGTTAAGTGATTTAAAATACAGACCTACATATTTAAAACCAATCTTTGTCTATGAAACAGAAGTCTATGAAACAAAAGCCTAAGCTGCTGGAAAACAGCCAGCATTCAGGAATTTGATACCATTTTGAAAAAAAAAATCATTTTTTAGTCAATGCAACAAAAGCAGTACAGTGCCAAAAGCAGTACAGTGCCTTTCAAGCACAATGTGTCAGAACAAAATTCAGCATTGATTAGTTGTCTCTTTCATCCCACCAATCTCATCTACAGTATCAGGAAAGGGACCGAAGCAAGGCAAGAAAGAACGTGCAGAAGTGTCCAGTTTTTAAGTCACCTAAGTTGTAAAAGCTAGCTATCTAAAGCAATCTTACTAGGTAGGACATGCTCTCTGAAACCATATACAGGCAACTGATGAAACTTTATTCATAGTCCTATGCCTAAACTACATTTAGCATTTTTCTCCAGATCAGACTGATGAAGCCACTGCATCTCTCAGTCAACTGAATCTCTACACTACATCCAGTTTTATTGGTCAGTTCAGGGGATGCTTTGCCTAAAAAGAGAAATTAAATAATTGCAGCTGTGTAAGACGAGAGTGAAATAGCTGTAGTGTAACAAATGAAGGAGAGAATATCCTGAACCATATGTGCAGCTGAGTACAGAAAAGGCAGGACATGAGTCTTTACTCATAGAACAATAAAATGAATGACATATTAAGCGATCCCTCCCATGCCCAAGTTTTGTTAGTTTTACAACCAACAGAAAAAGTTACAGCTGTAAATGCCAGTTTGTAACAATCCTACACTTTCTAGAAGAAAAGTTAAGGATGTAAATGCTTTACTGACAGATATTTTAGCAGTAAACCTTTCTACAGCAAGATAATAAGCACAAAATAATCCTGGTAGAAGCTGTACAAAAATTTTCTTCCCTACAAAGACAGTTTCATCAATTTTCTCTGGAAAGACCTTCTATGGACAGATTCTGTGCAGAAGTCTCAATCACTTTTCCTCCCATCCGATTTAAAATATTATTTCAAGGCCTTTCCTTTACTACACTTCTAAGAACTAAACTGCAAGAAGTTGATACAATCTGCTCAGATTTTACATTCTCTTTCTAGGTTCTGTTCACTGCCTCCATTTATTTATACTATCCACTTTTGAGTATTATGTGTTTTATAATTTTGGGAAAAATCTGAGTAAGATGTATGCAGATAATGTCCATTTTAAAAGCTAGTATGTTATAACTTTGGTTATTAATGTAAGAGACGTTAAGAAGCCTTTTCTAAGCTAGGAGAACAAAAGAGAACTCAGTTCCAGCAAAACCAGTATGCCGTGGTGTCAAACACCCCTTCATCCCCTCCGCATCATAAACATCAAAATCCAAACCTCATGACCACAAAACCAAGGAGCCCACATATTTAGTTATCTGCGGCACTGAAGAACACACAGAACTGGAAGGACAGATACCTAATAGGGACTCCACTTTTACCATGGGTGTGTGGAGATAGATACACAGTTACTGCTGGTAAGTGACTTGTTATATTTGCTTGGCATTTACTGTTGAGACATTTTCTAACATTTCAAACATTTGAGTTAATGAAATACCATATTTTGACTACAGTTCCAGTTCCTTGGTCCAGCCATTGTGGAGTAGAAAAAAATGTGACATGAAAACAAGCAGCAGCTTCTTTAAAACTGGATTTTTGTAATGAATATGGACAAAACATTGTTCAACTCCCCCTTCCCCTAACTTTTTTCAAATGTTTTACAGCTGCCTTCCTTTGTAGCAGGAAAGTTTTAGCAGAACTTTTACACTGTTTCTGGAATGCAGTTTTATACAACTTTCATCCAAAGTTATCCAAACTCTGCATTTAAATTACCCAAACTCTAGGGAAATTCCAGGCTGAGGCTACAGAGCTCAGAATAAGTTTCTGAAGTTACTCTTCTACCAGGTGACAGACTAGACACAGAAATGTCACTGACACCGATGTGTGAGGACCTGCAATTCATTTGTATTGACACCAGAAACCAAGGTTGGTCTTTCTGTGTAAGTCTGACTGAGCCTGTCTCACCAACTATTCGCATTTTAAAATTCTTAGGACCACGTAAGCCTTCCAGAAGTAATTCATACATGTCATCCATTTGCTGCCTCAAACATTCAAAACCTGAGCTGCCTAAGCACTAACTTCTTTGCCAGAAGAACTGAATGCAGCACAAAGTATATCAGAGTGAGAAGTCATCAGGCTGTGCACATAACTAAGTTGGCAGTTTCAACCTCAGAACCTGCACAGTTAAAAGCTGTAAGACAAACACAATGTGACTTGTATATCAAAATAAGCGTCTTCTTACAGCTACCATCAGAGCTACTAAGTTAAGGGCAGTTCAATCACAAAATGGACAACAGTTTATCTATAGATAGCCTCTCACGCGAACATTTTCCTTCTGATAGAATTAAACTCTTCTCAGAGATGTACAGCAAAAGCTGTGAATAGAGAAAAAACAAACAGCAAGTGAAAGTCCAGCTGTGTGTCAGAAAAAGCACAGCAGCGGCTTGCTCAGAGATGCTGTGTAGTCTCCACAAGAAAGTTTTCAAAACTTCAACAAGAAGGGCGGCTTTCTCTCTGCAGCCTTGGTCTTGAAAGTGACGGAACCCGCTAATTTTTACACAGAGAGAAGCGAGAATAATTTGGGAGATAAAAGTACTCTTTAGACCACGATAGGAAACCAGAACATTAATGACCAACTTATTAGAAGCAGAAGCAACGTTTATGGTAAGCTACCTTATCAAAGTTATGACTTCAAGAAAAAGATAGGGAGGAAACCAGTTCTCAGCTGTACATCTGAAGACATATTGTGCTATGTTGGGCTTAAACAAACGAGAAAAGTCACCAGGTTTTGCAGAATAATTATCTCCACAAGCGCAGTTCTGAAGTGTTTCTAAATACAGACTTTTTCTAAACCAAAAGAAAGAAATACCATAGAGATACTCAAATTATTTCAATATAAAAATGCATTTTACTTTAATAGAATGGTCTGCATTGCAACATCATTTCAGCATGTACAAAACAGGTTTTCCACCTAGCTTTGCAGGTAAGGCTATCTGCCTAACATGTAAGTAGTACATGTATCACTTGCACTGCTGATCAAAATCTACAAGCCTTTTCCATTAGTGGATTTCAGCTTAACCTCTACTCAAATTTTTGTATACCCATTAGGAAAATTTAGGGTAAAGCTGGACTACCACAAAGCAAGTTTTAGTCACTCAGCAATAAGTATGTTTTCTTTGGTTTCCTTCAAACCCTTACCAATAGTTCATGGACATCTCAATTACCAGTGAAATGTAAGTTGAAGAAAATTAATTACTCCATTGCTTCTAGAGGATTTTTAAGTACAGCAACATTGAAGTCACAACATTCTCCCCATTAAAGAAGATACTGTGACAAATATGTAAAACATTTTTAGAAAGACAGCATGTTTGCTAAGAATCTTTAAAAATTAAGCAACAAGTTATTGACAGAGGTTACGTATGACTACTATGAATCACTTTTGAACAGTGAGTATTTCTATCCACATCACTGAATGATGCCATTCAGATATCTAAAGAAAGTTGCAGTCCCACCACCTAACCTCATCAGTTTACTCAGAAGAGTAAATATTTATAACACCTGTGAATAAACACCCAATTTAACCTAATTATGTTGTTGTTCTACGTGCTAGTACAGCACTTAACTATTCTAGACAAATCTCACATTTATGGAGACAGACACTTTTAGCCTATGATTTTTCTTAATGTGCAATTCAAAAACAGAACAAACACAAAAGCCAATGAACAGATTTAGGAGAAAGTTTTATACCTGGAAATTGTTCATCAGCCCATAGTGACACTCTGTCTGACAGGATGAGAAATCATAGTTTAATTTGCAAGCTGCAGTAGTGCAATTTGTCAGCTCTGTGACAATGGTGTTATTAACGTTCCCTGTGGCATCTCGAACAACGCAGGATCCTAGAGTTGGCACAATCACAAAAAAAAAACCATTAACAGACTCAGTCTGAGCTTCAGGAGAAATACGAAGTTCAATTCCTTTTTATGCAACTGTATTCACACAGATCAATCTTCAAATAAGGCATTTATATTTTTAATACATTTCAGTATTAAACACATCTTCACTGTGAAGAAGAAATAAACCCAAGCAAACTAACTGCTCTCTTGCTTGACATGATCTTCACGCACAGCATTGCAGTTTTTTTTCAAGACACTGTGGCTAAGATATTCCAAAAAAATCAAGTAGTATGTCATGAAAGCCTGGTGAAAGCCATTTCATAATGTTTAAACAAGCCATCTCCGATGTGGCCTTTTTTTCAGTTGGAATTTTCAGTTGGTTTCTTGGTGAAACAAAACCACATAGTTCAATTCTTACCACACTGTTTAAAATAAAGTTTATCACTTAAGTTGCTGTCCTCAATTCACCTACAATTATTTGTAACTTTACTGGTTAAGAAAATGAAGACACAGCACTTCATCCTTGAAGTACTCAGAAAAACCATAAAGTACTAAAAAGGTTTTTTGTCTCATAAAGGACAAAAGAGTAGACTAAGTATTATTTAACATTCTATGGTTTAATAGTTGAGGTAGTCAAATTATTTGGACACCACCAAGTACTTCCAGGAATGGGAATTAAATTAGGACTGGGAAAGAGAAGAAGGAAGTCTACAGAGCAGTAGCCTAAGTGGACATTATTTAATCCTTCCACTTTTCAGAATTATTTTTCAGTTACTTTCAGGCCCAGTTGATTAAATTTCAGTACGAGTTTCCTATATTGATCACCTGTCTTATGCTCTTCTCATGGGTATGTGATCGGGCTGTGTTTTTTTTCTTCTTCTGTTTTAAGTGGAGTTAAAAGATCTGTATGACAAAAAGTTTCTTCTCTTCCATTATGCAAGTATTTGCTGCAGCTTACTAGTTAAACTATTTGAACGTATTGTCAGTAACAGATGGCAGTGGTAAATGTGTTGAGCAACTCATTAAATAGGTACAGTACATCATCACGGTCCTCCTCTTCCTCATTCCCTTTTCCATAGTTCAGATCCAACTAGCTGGCAGATCTTTCACACACAAGGTGCAACAGAAAGGGACAACAGCACTATGAACAAACTTAACGTCAACCTTACTGTGAGCAAATGTAGAGCAGAAGCCAGCTGAGCATGCTGCATTCTCAGCAGGAGTAGGAGATACTTAGATACAGGTAAGAGTGTAGACATTGTATTCAACTCTCACTCAAAAAAAAATTTATAAGATTCTGGCAACACTTTCCCTAAGAATCTCCAGGTATCCTTTCCCATAAAAACAGGATTTTACCTTTCCATAGGCTTTTATAAGCATGTTCCTGCCATAGTCAAACAAAGTTTTGCCACACTATAAGTCTAAGGTTAACAGACCACCTGTATCAAGTTCTCCTAACTACATGCAACCAGCAAAAATTCTAGAGATAGTACCCCGAGTCCTTCAGACTATATTTGGGAGTGTTTAGCTCCTCTAGTGCCACAAGCAGCTACAGTTAGGTTCTCATTAGTTAGCTTTACTTCCCTGTGTTGAGAAAACATATCTTAAGCCTACTCAGAAGTTTGGGGGGTTTATTACAGCTTCCCTTTGAAATATGTCTTTTGAGAATTTTGATATAAAAATTACTTATGCACTCTTCATCCTGCCACATCCACATCTCCATTAGTCTCTTGCTAAAATAAAAAATCATATGCTTTCTCCTCACAGCTGTTATTTTTTGAAATAGGCTGCCTAGCTCTAGCAGTAGGACTAGCAATCCTCCTCTTCCAAGCCTTCTCTACTCAGTTTCTTAACCCTCTTAATTACTACAGATCATGCAAATAGTGAGCTAAATTCAGAACATCATCTTTCCCTGCAGACATGACTACTCAGCGACATTTATTAACTCCTTCGAAGCTGTAATGACTTGCTCATCACTACTCTGGAAACTTACATTGAGGAATTGTGTGTGGGGAAAGGAATAAAAGCATCTGTGTTTGATTCCTGATCCAATGTCTAAAGAAAACTCTAAATTTCACTCCTGTCCTAATCTCTAACCTCTGCAACAACCCCGGTCTTTTCTAACTAGCAGAATTCTGTGCAAATTATAGGATAGACACCTCCTGTAACTAGGGCAGGACACTTTTGATGCACCAAACAATATCCTGTTCAGTTGTTTTTGAAAACTGTTCCTTTTGCAATACAAAAAACGATCAAGGTATTCTATTAACACGTGAATATCAATGAGCATTTTGCTCTCCTGTGGGTTCAAGTTCTGAAGTATTCAAATTTGCTAGAAGAGGTCTATGTGGTTAACCTAATTAGGAAATAAGTGTAGGTCATTATGCTGCATGAAGCGCAATGACTACAGACCAAATATTTGGCAGAGCCAAGTACAACTTTAGCCAGCAGAGGCAGACTAGCAAGACCGCTGTCTTTGGGAAGGAAGTGGTAAGATCAATGGTACTCTTATAAATGAGAATTTCAATCAAAACGGCAGCAGAGCTAAAATAAGGCTAGGTCTTTCATATAAGAAAACTGACTAGTGCTGCCAGAAACTAATTTAAGTGAAATGAATGAAAATACTTTCAATCACAAACAGGAAATATGAGATACAATTGTGTTCTTGTGTGCTTAAGGTTGCTAGAAGAGAATTATTTTATGGGTGGGAAAAATGTGGATGACCATCAGTGCTTTAGAGCAACAATGACACAGAGAGCATCAAACCCCAAGGCAACTTCTACAGACAATTTCAAACCACTGGGTTGGGGAAGACTGGGAAGAGAGGTTATACAAGACTCAGATCAATCTATTATTGTTTCTCCTCCTTCCACATGAAAATAAAACTACAGACTGTTTCCGAAGATGACTTCTGACAGCCAGTTGGCCAGATGAAGGCACAACTCACTCTCCTCCCTCTCCTGGGGAATTATTGCTCATGCATTCTAACCAAAGAACTGTGTGATTGTCCCACAATTCAATTCAGATAAGTAGCTGACTATCATCATCTTCAAAACAATATACAGGTGTTCGGTCAGTGAGTATTTTCTGAAAATGTGCTTTTCTAATCCAGGGATTATCCTGCTTCTAAACTGTAAATCTTTTAATATAAATAACTACAACAAATGAGGAAACATCCATATGAAGCTTTTTGCCATGTTTAGTCCAAAACAGTCACTAGTCTTAAAAAAATATCACTCATTTTATGAAATTATAAAGCCAGCTGAAAATTGAATCTCCAACAATAAAAATCAGAAAACTCTGGCGATTATTCTCCCATGCATGAAAGTCAATTACATTATGACTTTACATAATGAATTACGTAAACTGTATCAAAACATACCCTCAGAATGAATGTGAAATGATAAAGTTAAAAACATTCTCTATTTACCTACAGATACTGCAATTCCTACGTAAACCAGCGTAGTAATTAAGATGGCCAACAGCGTTCCTTTAGGTATCGCTGACTGAGGATCCTGAAAGAAAAACACCAGTGGACAGTGATGACAGAGGCAAGGGTATGCTCAGTGTTTGAGAAGAGTATTTGCTAATTCATTACTCACCGCAAGATCACCTGAGATATTTGCACCAGCAAGTATGCCAGTTGCAGCAGGGAAGAAAATAGCAAACACAGAAAAGAAAGTTTCCCCATGTCGAAAATCTGGTCCAAAATTCTCCGTAAATATTTCAGCTGTAGAAAAAGATTTACATCTATCAATATTCATACAGAAGCTACAGTATTACCCATTCCATCCATTACTAGTTCCATGAAAAATCTGAAAGTCATAGCTCTATGACCTGCTTAAAATCAAGCATAGAACTAAGCCCTAACTCACCAGTGAACTCAAAATAAAAGTTAACACATTAAATTTAAATAGACTTTAAACCCAGAAAAGTACTTAGAGTATCAGCCATTTTTTAAAAACTTAATATAATTGATATTAAGTAGGCAGAATCAAGTTTTGGCCCAATAGCTTTAAGGAACCAAAATGCATAAATTTAAAAGAATCAGGAAAAAAAAAATCTCTACTGTTACAGAGGACTATAAACCACTTCAGATGTCCAACTTAATTATGACAGTGAGACTCTTCCATGCAAAGATACTGTTTAAAATACTAACTGTTCCAACATACCTTTATAACCAAAGAAACCTTTAGGCTTCTTGCTATCCAAAGGAATGAATGTTCCTATTACAAAGTCTCCAATAGCAATTATGAGGATCACCAGTAAGACTATCTGTGCCTGAAATATAATGATTGCATTAGACAGAAGAGCTTGCTCTTTATCACAGTTTAAGCCTTCAATGTTGTGTTTTACAACATAAATATTTACTTTATTCCAAATCCAGCTTTGTCTTCTCAGTTTGAATTCCACAAATAAGGCAAGATGGAGAGAACATGTATCAGGATTTTTAACAACGAAACAGAAATAGTCTGTAAGTTTAACACCTATTCCAAAAATAATTTCTTATTATTGTACTTTTCAAAGTTACACTTCTAAAGACAAAATATTTAAAAGAACTATTTTCTCTACAATCCAGAAGGAATGGATTTGCACAGATGAAAGAAATACGTAAGAGCTAAATGTACACACATGCTACGAGTATTGCCTTATTACTGTGATCATAGTACTTTACCATATACTTATGCACATGATATTTACTAAGAATTTTATTACATCAGAAATCAAACAGCTTTTGTTTGCTGTTTTATGCCATGGACTAGATTATTTTGTTCCATTCTTAGCTTCTCAACTGTTATGAAATTAAACCACAGACTACCACAACTACTTGCAAATTTCTAGTTCTCTTGAAACTTTTTTCATTACAAAATAGATTTTCAGCCATTGTTCAATAAAGACATTATAAATCCTACACTTGGAACAAGAAGTACTTTAAACCATCCAATGTTTCAAAAGTATGAGTGCAGATAAATCTAAACATTGAAGAGACCGTTCAGTTTTTACGTGTAAATAAGCAACCACACTGCCCTGTTATCTTTTTGTGTTATTTGATTTGTTACAAAGGCATATGCCAATGGCTCAGGGGAAGCTATTCTTAGTTGTGACTTTTTTTTCAGGGCTAGGATGAGAACTTAATATGCAACAGCACTGTGGTGTTGCCTCAGAAAGAAACAGGTAGTACAGTGATAAACAGAGCACAATATCCAAAAAGCAGTTATAGAACAACCTGAAGAAGTCAGTTTGCACAACGCATTTAGCTATCTCTTTTGCCAAGCCTAGAAAATAGATGAAAAGTGTAACGATACACTTGAGTGCTTACAGAAGTCTTCAATAAGCCCAGAGAATTTAACATGAAGTCACCACAGTGCAATTGCCACGAATGTATGTATCCACTAACAAACCTAAGCACTTCCCTGAAACGAAGAGCATTTCTGAATGTCTTCCTTTGATTCAAAAGCCTCACACAAATAATGGGCTTCCAAGACTTCAATACCAGGAGCTGAGTAGTAAGAGATCACGAACTCTGAAAAGTCATTTTTTTTAAGCAGGCTTTCCTGGATTCCCAGCCTCTCTTTGCTTTTAGATCCACTTCAAAGGCATTATTATAGATTCACCTTGTCCCATTTTGCAAGGCCTTCTCTAAGTCATGTAGAAGGTATAAGAGAATATCACAGGTACTTTAATCAAGAGGGAAGTATTAGTGTTTTGCTATGTTAAACTGTATGTTAACCCACATGACGTGCTTGTTTGACAAGTTCAGTGGATTATCACCGCTCCTATCTGCCTAGAATTGTTTATGCTACAAAGCAAAAGCAAAATATTTCTTGTGACAGTGGCCACAGGATTTATAACAACTAATTAATTCAAAGGAAAAACTAAATGGTTGAGAATAAGGACAGTATTGTTCAAAGTTAGGTGCATAAAGTTAGTATTACAAACTGAAGTTACAGACAGTAAAGGACTACTAGTGAAAAGTAAACAATTTTTACAAAACTCTGTTGTTCAATTTAAAAGTACATGCCAAAGTCAATTTCTGTTGATTATTTTCTTCCTGTGGTTGATCCAAGTAATGCACTTGATCTTCCCTTCTATTTTCTACGATACCTATTTCTAGGCTGGAGGCAACAATGACAAAAAAAACCTCTCTCATTTTGATTATGAATATCATCATCATCTTGATGCAGGAGCATAGGAAACTTGCATCATTTCCATGAACAAGCTCCTACAGTTGCCTCTCACTGCAGAAAATAGGAGCTATTGTGAACCAAATATCAAATAGAAAAGGAGACCAACGGAGTCTCTTCTCAATTATTTTTGAGCACAGTATGAATGGATACTCAGAAAAAGCAGACAAACTACAGGAAACAGTGATCAAGCTACAGTGCCTAGTTATACGGAGCACAATCCTAGTAAGACAATCTCTATATATATTCTGCATCTTGGCCTGCATCAGAATAGTGCGGGCTGCAACCAGTATGGAAGTGATTGTGCCCCTGTACTTGGCACTACTGAGGCTGCACCTTGAGTACTGTGTTCAGTTTTGGGTATTGCAGTGTAAGAAAAACATCGAGGTGCTGGAGCAGGCCCAGAGAAAGGCATCAAAGCCGGTGAAGGGTCTAGAGAACACATCTTATAAAAAGCAGCTGAGGGAACTAAGGTTGTTTAGGAGGAGGCTGAGGGAAGTTCTTACTGGTCTCTACAATTACCTGAAAGACCAACATCATTGTTCTCTTTGCCCAAGTATCAAGTGATAGGACAAGAGGAAATGGCCCTCAAGTTGCACCAGGGGAGGTTTAGGTTAGACATTAGGAGAAACTTCTTCACTGAAAGGGTTACCAAAGATTGGAACAGGCTGCCCAAGGAAGTGGTTGAATTACCATCCTTGGACGTGTTTAGGCACCGTCTAGGGAGATGGTTTAGAACTGGGCCTGGCAGACTTACATAATGGTTGTACTCGATTATCTTAAAGGTCTTTTCCAATCAAAATGATTTTATGATTTTATATTAAGTTACCTTAGGATCTATACGTGCTTATTGCCACAATCAGATTTGACCCAAGACCACGTAGGCACAACAAGATAAGTAAAGTAGGTTCCCCCTCCTACACATTCATTACCACTAATGTTTACAGCCCTCCTCAACACTGGGCTTAATTACTGCATCACACTGTCTGGCTGTTTTCAAATGAAAACAAAACCAGAAAAGAGTGGAAGAGAAGCTAAGAATACTGGTTTTCAGTGAGCAGAAACTACACAACTTTAGATTGGCTTCAGCTGCAGTCCTTTATTTTCCATCCGCGGAGCTCATTTTAAGTTCCAGTGGAGGAAAATTCCTATTCCAATGCTCTTTCCGTTTCTTGTTGTGCTGAAGTTGCCCAGAAGAGGGCAATACTGTTAATGTCCTTGACAGTGTCATTTCAGCACCAAAGGGTCTTGAAATACTTGGCAGACCTGCTCACTCAGCCACTTTCCATTATTTATTTGAAGTCCTGGCTAACTGGGGAGGTCCCAATGGACTGGAAGGTAGCAAATGTAACGCTCATCTACAAGAAAGGCAGAGAAGAGGATTGAGGACACTACAGACCTGTCAGTCTGACCTTGGTACCAGGGTAGGTCATGGAGCAGATGATCTCAAGTGCCATGACATGCCATATAGAGGACAACCAGGGGAGCAAGCCCACTCAGCATGAGTTTATGAAAGGCAGGTCCTGCCTGATGAACCTGATGTCCTCCAACGGCAAGACAACTCAACTATTGGACAAGGGAAAGGCTGTATGTATTGTCTACATAGACTTCCAAAAAGCCTTTGACACTTGTTTCCCACAGAATTCTCTTGGGAAAACTGGCTGCTCATGGCTTGGATGAGCATATGATCTGCTGGACAAAGCAGTGACTGAATGGACAGGCCCAAAGAGTGGTGGTCAATGGAGTGGTCAATGGAGTTAAATCCAGCTGGCGGCTGGTCACAACTGGTGGTCTGCAGGGATCACTGTAGGGACCATTTCTATTTAACAACTTTATTGATGATCTTGATACGGACATAGAGTGTAGCATCAGTAAGTTTGCAGATGACACTAAGTTAGGTGGGAGCATTGATCTGCTCATGAAGAGACTTGGATAGATTGGATTGATAGGCCAATGTTAATGGCACGATCTTCAACAAGGCCAAGTGCCAGGTCCTGCACTTGGGCCACTACAACCCCATGCAACGTTACAGGCTTGGGGAAGTGTGGCTGGAAAGCTGCCTGGCAGAAAGGGACCTGGGGGTTCTAATGGACTAGTAGCTGGATATGAGCCAGCAGTGTGCCCAGGTGGCCAAGAAGGCCAATGGCATCCTGGCCTGGATCAGGAACGGTGCGACCAGCAGGAGGAGGGAGGTGATTGTCCCCCTGTACTCAGCACTGGTGCATCCACATCTTGAGTACTGTGTCCAGTTTTGGGCACCTCAATACAAGAGAGATATCGA